TTTTGATATCCATTTCGTGGATTATAGTTCTGATCTTCTTTCTTGGTTTTTAAGATTTTGTTCTGTGGCTCAGGGTAACCATGAACGCATGATCCTCCTGCCTTAGCCTCCCTGGTGCTGAGATTACAAATATAAACCATCAGACATGACTTTATTCTTGATTTTCTAAGGCCTCAAGGTCCATAATTAGGTTATTTGATAGAGCTCTGATTTTTTTTTCAAAAGAAGTGGATGTTTTTGCATGTGCGTGTGTATGCTTGTGTGGATGTGCATGCATGCATGTGTATATGGGTGCACACATACATGATGCACACGTGTAGGCCTGAGGACAATTTTGGCTGTTGGTTCTCAAGTACCTTCCATCTTTTGTGTGAGACAGCATCTCTCATTTGCCTGGAACTTAGCCATGATTGCTGGGGTTGCTGGCCTGTAGCTTGCAGGGTTCTCTCTGTGTCCACCTCCCATTTCTGCATCACTGGGAGTACAGGTGCACACAACCACACATAGCTTCTTATATGGATTCTGAGGATCCAAACTCAGGTCCTCACACTTGCAAGGTAAGCACTTGACTTATGGCGCAGTCTCGCCAGCTGCCAAATCATTATCTCTCTTGCTTTCGTTCTCGCTCTCTCGTACTCTTGCACTCTCGCTCTCTCACTGTCTTCTTGCCCTCTCTCTTGCCCTCTTGCTCTCTCCTAATATAGGTATTATTAGCTGTAAGTTTCCCTCCTATAACTGCCTTTCCTATATCATAAAGTTAGTAAGTTGTGTTTCCATTTTTTCTTAATTCTAGGAATTTGTTATTTCCTCCCCAATTTTGGTGACCCAGTCCTCACTCATGATAGTATTGTCCAATATATATGTATATATTCTGTGACTTGTCTTGCTTTTAATTTCTATATATGCGCTCATACCCCCAGAGTAGTAGCTCAGTCATAACAAAAGACCTTCTCCAGGGATGACACCTGACTTCAACATGCTAAGATGTTGGGAGTGGCAAAATGCCTCCTTTAATACAAGATGAGTCTTTATCACACCAGATACCTCTTTTGGAATTAAGGCTTCAGGAACTGTGGGCTTATCTTGTGGCTAGGACTACCAGTCTGTTTGCATGAAGGACGCCTGATAGGGATTCTAATTTCAGACCTCCACCCCCATCCCAAGAAGGGATGTCTAGATCTGTTTCCAGTTCTTTCTCTGTGTGATCTTGCTTACTCTATGCTTTTCAGCTGTCTTAACCTGTTTTGTGATTCTCAATATTCTTTCTCCTTTTTTCTTTTTAGAATAAACTCCATCCTTTGTTTTCCTGACCCCTGTTCCTAGTGTCAGACCTCTAACTTGGACTCAGGCCTCTAACCTGGAGTCAGGCCTCTAACTTGGACTCAGGCCTCTAACCTGATAGCCTCACCTAGAAGCAACATTTGATATATTGTTTGCCAATGAATCTTAAATTCTTGTATATAATAGAACGTTTTTCTTGTGTGAATGGATGGATCATGGTGATTTTGTCTCCTAGAGTCTTGGTTCTGCTGGAAAAAGTAAAATATTGAAAGAGTAGAATTTTGGATCTGTAAGAACTACATTTTTCTTGTCTTGATAAATATGGAGCTTAAGTTTTAGTTACTAAGGGTTGTAAAAGAACACAATTTAGAAGATATTTCTTAATATACCTTAGCATTCAAAAGTTTAAAAAATGTTTTATAGGAACCACCAAAGCCACCCATAAATAATTT